AATCTAATATTATCACAGAGAATTTGTGGGGTATGGAATTCTTTTTATTATGAAACGTTTTTCATTTTCGAGTTTTGCCGATAATACCTTTTATTCACAGAAACGAATACAGTTATACAGTATATTACGATTTTTATTTATTTGCTAATTACATAAAATAATAAAAATGTTAATTTTAAAATAATACGCATTAATTTAATGTATATACATATACATTTTAATACAATTAATCTTTGGAAAAAATTCAATTTTCTTTTATAAAACTTTAAAAGTTGTTTTTATAAGACAGTAAAATCAAAACATAATTAAAATATATTTGCTGAAATGATGTATTTATTGTTAAAATTTAATTATCTTTTCTATCCAGAATATCTTCCAGCTCATTTTCTCTTACGCAAACAAAGTCTAATAAATTTCTCTTCTCCTCTTTCTTCTCTATAGTATTACACTAAGTATATCCAGTGTTTCGACGAATAAAATAATTGAAAAATTTTATTTCTTAAAAAATATGAAAAAAATAATACGAATATATAAGAAACATTCTTTATAAATTAAACTTTTCTCTTCTGTTTTATCTCATAAGAACACGAGGTTATAATATGACCATGTAGGTGTTTGCCGATTTATAAAGATACGAAAAAAATATTAATATGCNGTGCACCTGTACCAAAAGTTGTGCTACAAATAGGTGCCAGTGTAAAAAAAAATGATTGTCTGTAATTCGAAATGCCACAACAGTACACCCTGTAAAAATAAATAAAATATTTAATCTTTTATTTATGTTACACTGAGAAGCACTTGAATAAATATTGTTCATCTAATTGATTTCCTTTTAATTTTATTTTAACCATTAATATACTTGAATAATAATTTTAAATCAGTTCGGCCTAGGACAAACTAGTTTAGCCTAAAGTATTTAGGCCAAACTAGATTGTCCTAGGCTAAACTAGTTTATCCTGACACGCGTAGGACAAACTAGTTTGGCCTAGGATAAACTAGTTTGGCCTGAAATCGGGTTTGGCCGGTAACATATATAAATTTATTGCTGCTAATGTTACGTTAATAAACGATACCTTCGATATAATTTATTTTAATGCGAATATTTTAAATCTTCAGCATTAATTTCTTCAAAAACTAGAAAATGAATTAATGAAGAACAGAAAAATGTCGATCGATATTAGAGGTGGGCGAGAACAGCAAAAGGAAGGTCAATAATGACAGAACATGACAAAGCACAGACTATTCAAATTTTATGTACTCCTAATTGAAAAAAATTTCAATCAACACTAACTTCAGTATTGATTTATTTGATAAAGTATCTATTATGTCAATGTAAATTTTAAATAGATGTTAAAACGAAAAAAAAAACAAAACATCTGTTTTATCGAAAATGATTATGCGAAAAAAATAATTTATGTTTAACCACTTGTAGCTGTAAATATTTACATTCGTTTTCAACGTATACCGTATTTGTATACTGTATTTATCTATTTTACTATTTCAATAATCAGCATACAAATTACACCTTTGTATATTCTTAAACTGTTTATTTAACTGATTACGCTGAAATTTGAAAAAAAAATATAGACATATAAATTCCCACTGCTGTCAGTCTGTCGTCCGTCCGTCCGTCTCGCCTTAATCTCGAGAACGGAGTTAGAAAGATAAAACTCGAAAACAGACATGGAAATCTTAGGGGCCGGTGGTCCTGATGAAAACCGGAAGTCATGTTATTTCAATTCAAAAATTTTCTTTCGAAAGGTGTTAGATAGATGACCGGCACGACGCTATTGTTGAAAGAAAAGTACGATCTACAGAGACAAGACAATACTAATTTGAGATGAAGAACATATATTTTAAATTATATTTAATTAATTAAAAATATGATTAAAAATTGCAACCCGGCATTGTGACGATGTGGAGCTGCAATTTTTGATCATATTTAAATAATTGCTCGTTTAATTTAAATTTTAATATAATCATTAAGAAATTTTACATTTATCTGATGAAATAATCATTAACTATTGTGTAATGTTTTTATTTTCATCTTTTATACCAAAGTAATGCTGTTAAAATATATTTGGATATTTATTTGGGATTATTCTAATTTTCTCTGTACATTACATTAGTTTTTGTGATAATTATTAATTAAAGTGAGAAATGTTTCTATTATTTATTAATCGAAACTTTATTAAATCGGCCATTAAAATTTTTAAATTAAATTAATATAACCTATAATATATTATCGATTCATTTAGATTCTGTATTATTATTAGCTTTCTGCCATGTTTGTAACGAATATAAAAAATATATTAAAATATTAATAGAGAAGAAATTAAATATACAAAAGCAAATTTTGTTTTAGAAATTTCAGATTAGTTTATTATTTTTTCTTTTTATCTTAATATAAGTAATGTAAGTAACATGGCATTTTTTTCTTTTTTCATACATCAATTTCATTCCCTGAAAACAGCACAAGTGGTTTCTGCAATACAGAAAATTTTTGACAGGGGGTGCCCCTTGATAATATAATAATTGAATAATGATGTAATATGGATTTCCATAAAAGTAAATTGGTTCTTCTCATAAAGGTAATTGGGTGAACGATCATCCAAATTACCATAAACCTTCTATATATAAAGCATTCTGTTTCATTAATATAATATATAGCAATAACACTCCTCTATGGGAAATGGAAATGGAAATTAATATAATATAATATAATATAAAGCATTCTGTTTCATTAAGAGACGTTATGCCAATTGTCATAATCAAAACATAACTACGCAAGGCCATTTCGGATATAAATTCTAAAAAGACAATGATAAATTTTGGGCGATTTCCGGTTACACCGACGGCAATGCCCAAAATACATATCAAATTAAAGCTCGCGACGAAAGGAACACAACGGTACAAGTTTCAGGTCTGAGAACGAGAGGTAACAGATCGAAATTCGCACTTGTTCACCTAAAGTAGAGTGCATTTTCGTAGCACTCGTTACACTTACTTGTTAGACTATTACTAATAATAAATGTAGACGAGGTGTTGCTCCGAGAAGTTGTTGACCAGTAGTCACTCCTGTCCTTGTGAAATTCTAAAACTTCTCGTAAAACACTGTAACTGCAGTGTTTTACGAGTAACTGCAGTGTTTACGCTTGATGTTTGAGTTAAGATGATCATATACACTAAAACCCACGTGAAAAGTCATACACTTTGGGTTTACACATTCTCAGCTAAGATCGTTTTTTTCTTCCAATCCGTTATATAAACAAAAGTAAAATAATTAAATTATTAGCTTAATAAAATTCCGGATCTCACTATTCTGAATCAAAGCATTCTGACGGAAGTAAGGTTTATGGTAATTTGGATGATCGTTCACCCAATTACCTTTATGAGAAGAACCAATTTACTTTTATGGAAATCTATATTACATCATTATTCAATTATTATATTCAAGGGGCACCCCCTGTCAAAAATTTTTTGTATTGCAGAAACCACTTGTGCTGTTTTCAGGGAATGAAATTGATGTATGAAAAAAGAAAAAAATGCCATGTTATTATCTGAATATGAAAGAGACTCATTACACAGATGACTTACAAAAAACCTAAATTTTGCTTTTAAAAAATAACTGAAATTTTAAAATATTATAAAATCTAAGATAAAAATAACATTGTTTCCGCAATGATTGTACTGTTTTATTTTTGATATTTAATTCGGGGTCAAAATTGATTCCAGAATAGCGGCTATGTTTCAAAAAAACACAATAGTAATTGGGTGCTAGAATTCCTGTAGCAATTACAAGAATACGTTATCCTAAATTTGAATATTTAAACTTTTTCAGTAAAACGGGAACTTCCTTGATCTTTGACTATTTCTGATCATTAACACTTCACGATATCTTTAAAATTTTAGACTCGAATATTAATGATTTCGACAGTTTTAATAAAAGACGTTCGTCTTTTTCTATTTTATATTTGTATAAGAACCTTTGCTTCAATCTTATTTAAGTTGTTAACACATTGAAAAATGCCATCATTTAAATGAGATAATAGATAAGATTGAAAAGTTCATATATTTCTCAAATTTCTTATTTATATAGCGTAAAATTATATATTTTTTGATAATTTCGTTTATAAGTTATCTGCTTCTTACAATTTTATTCTTATAGAAAAATCTCTTAAGTTAATATTATCATGAAAAATATATCTAGTCATTGTAATAAAAAGTAACTACCTGATTTTCTTTCTTCATTTTATTAAATCTAAGTTAATGAATCGTGTTGTAAACGTATTGCTATTAAATCAGGAAATATTTTATGAAAATATCTTGTGTGTATGTGTTGAAGTTGTTGAGTAAAAAATGTCCAAAAGATTTTAATCAAAAATCTTGAAAAATATTTACACAAAAATTCATCTTGAAAAGAAAATTAAAATCATAATTCGTTTTTTTACAGTAAACTCGATTATCCATCACTCTTAATCGCCAGAATGCTAAGTTCAGTTTTGGGAAGTAGAATTACTATATCCTTTCTTTTTTGCTATTGCCATAACGAAGTACAGTACATACAGTACTGTACTGTATTTTACTGAATTTTAATGTACGTAAGCCTCTATTTCTGTACTGTTTGCTAGTTAAGGTCTTCATCGTATATAAATACTGTTATGTACTTCAAATGAATAATTGCTTGATTGCAAGGTACCCCCTTGACAGGGAGACCTTGTGTTTTTTTCTCTGATTTACATAAGGTCTTTATTGTTGGGGACTTGTTTGTTAGTTGTGTGAACATTTTAATTTAGAATTATATTTAATTGTTTTTAGTTATTGTGAATATTTCTAATTCTTTACTTTTAGATTGGATATTCAGTGAGGTTTTAGTCGAATGTTGTGGAGTGTCTGGTGAGTGTGCATTTTAAGTGTGTTTATTCTTAACCTTAGCTCTTAGTCAGTTTTTACTCTCTTTAACCTTAATTGTTTAATCGTTGCAGATTAAGACAACTTTGTCGTTCCTCAGAGGAGGTCTCAACTTCAGAACCGAAGCGTAAGTCTTCCCCTTATTTGGGGCGCTGACTAGACTTTGAGTACCAGAAGTCACCATCTGGTCCGAGGTATGTTTTTTCTCCTTAATTTCCTTATAATTTTCATATAAACAGTTGAACATCTCCTGAGCCTTGCTTAAGTTTATCTCTATTTGTTCTTTTATTTTTCTTTGAGCAGGGCTGTGGAGTGGGAGTCGGAGTCGGTAGATTTTTACACGACTCCACAGCTCCGCTTTTGTGGTTTCTACTAATATCTAGGGCTGCTGGAGTGGCTACCGAATTATGCATTAATTGTGGATTGTAAATTAATTTTTCTTTACTGGTAGAGAGAACTCTCTTCGTCACGGCCTCAGTCCCGATCCCCAACGGATATTAGTGTCTACTGGTGTAATGGAGATTGAATTTCACCAATAGAATGGAGTTTCCATTAGTGAAATGAACAGTGTATAAAAATATATAATGTTATATGATTTTGATCTATAGACAATCAAACCGATAAACATTACTAATCAACTGATACAGACGGATATATATCGGGTTACAATAAGGTTAATAAATTAATAAGATATTAACCTATTCCAGTTACACGAACATACGCCAGAAATAAATTTAAACAGGAGTTCCGTGTTTGAATCCCCAGGACGGATTTTTTCTTTCGGAATATATTAATTTTTTATTTCTGGTTATTAAATTTACACAAGACGGAGAGTTAGCCGCCTACTTCTAGCCCAAATTGCTTAATACCTTATTAATTAATTAGCTTTATAATAAACCTAGTAGCGCAATCAGGGGAGGGGCAAGGAAGCGAGTGTTCCCCTAAAGAGAATCTCAAAAAAATTGTTAAATTAAAAAAATGAAAAGTAAACAACACACGCGTACAGTACTTACTGTTTTATAATGCTTAAGTAGCATTGTTAAAATAGTATATTATGCAAGGCGATTATGACATTATGAATAGATGTTTGGCACACGAGCGGAACGAGTGAGTCAATTTCCATGAATGCCATAATCACTAATTATAAACGAACGGTTATGTGGTATTTTGTGGTTAGACTACACCTATAACATTACACTTATGTAAATCAAAATCATGTACTGTATAAGCACAATATCTATACATGATTTTGATTTCCATAAGTGTAGTGTTATAGGTGTAGTCAACCACAAAAGTAATTATTTTTGTCATAAATTTTAGAATAAAATACCAGCAAAAAATTTTTCTCTTATTTAAAGTTTCTGGTTACTCAGCTATAAATACGTCCGATATCAATACAGATGCATTGTTTGATTTTAATTACACTTAAAATTCTATTTTAAATTCAGTAACATTTTAATGTATTATTGCTTGTTTATTGTGATTAGATTTATTATTAGGTGTTTAGTACATTAGCCATATTCGTTTTATCTCCTAATCACGTACTGTATTCTAAGCATACATGAATAATGTAATCAAGGTAAAAATTAGTGATGTAACGAATATTCGGCTACTATTCGGCCGAATACCGAATACCTAAAAACAGGAGTAAGAAATAACAAAAACACAGTAAATTAATCATTTTTGTATTTAGATTTAATGTTATCGGGTTAGTGTTGTTTGTTTATATTTATTTATAACTTGTAACATGCACAAAACAAAAAAGAAAATAATATTAGTCACATGTATTCACAATTTATAATTACAAAGATCAGCACACGTACACACCTATCGTTGGAGAATCCTCGCACATCTGAGGGTCTGACCCTGCCTATCCTTTTTAAGCACTCGTCTTTGCTCTTTCCTTTCTTTTTCCTCCATCTCTCTAGTCCATGTATGCATGCCTATGCATACTTCATAATACGCGCTCACGATACTTTCGATACATCACTTTTCCGTCGTAGCTTTTCCATTTTATAATTACGTGACTCATAGCATGGTGATAACGGAGAAAAGAGACAGATAGGACGTCGATATATGTCAGTTATGCTTTCACAGATTCGAGACAGCTTGATAGCCCGAACGGTCCCAGACTTTCATTACAAGCATTTAGCTTTCCGAAGTCTATGGCAAGAATTGTTTGGTATTGACGGCCGCGAATTTTGTGCCAATAAGCTGCTTCGACTTGTTCGATTATGTTATCAACTCAATTTCATATTTATTTTCACATTTTCTCTTCGCGGTCCTTCTCTGTTCTTTTTCCGTTATTTACACGTTTAGGTCATTTCATTGTTATCCACATTTGATATCATTATTTATCACATACTGCCATGACGCTCTTGTCTGTCCGCTACAACTGTCAAGAATTAACGCGATTGGCGAAGCGTAGTGACAGCGGGCCAATAGAGAGCAGGATCCTTGCTATAATGCGGTTTGTGCGCCAATTTTCGTACGTGCGTTAATCAAACCGAATAGTTTGGCCGAATATTCGGCTATTCGGCCACGCTCCTGACCGAATATTCGGGTATTCGGCCTGAGGCCGAATATACTATTCGTTGCAACCCTACTAAAAATCTATCACATCCGAACAAACAGAACAGTGTACAGTAAGTTACTCCATTTGCACAGGCATAACGAGATTAATATTTATTATTTTATTTATTCGAATAAAAACCTTAATGATATACAGATAAACTTGAATCTAAATATAACAATTATTTATTGTGACATCGTCACAACGCTGGGCTGAAAATTTTAATTATATTCTTAATTTATTCAATTTAAAATATATGTTCTCCATATCATATTTATAGTGTCTTGCCCCAGTACATCATACTTTATCTGAGAACAACAGATTCATGCCGATCATTTACACTCACTGGCCAATGAATTAGAAACAGCAGTTTAATGTTTTATTGGTCCACCTTTAGCTCGAATTACATTATTTAGTCGATTTTGTGAGAAAGAGAGTACTGTGCTCATCAAAGAAAGAGCCGTCACATGCAGGAAAAAAATGCAACATTGCAGGAAGGTAATATTGTTCAGGTACTCGTTGGAAATCATCCGAAATTCCAGGAATATCAACGAACCAGTTTCTTCTCAACAGAACATTCCCCATACCATAACACCCCCACCAGAACCCCGATAAGTTAATGAGGCAAGCGAGATCCATTGTTTCATGGGACTCCCTCCAAACCCTCTGTCTACCGTCGGTACAGAATAAGGTGTACCGTGATTCGTCTGACCATATTACTTTTTTCCAGTCCTCAGATGACCAGTCACGGCGCTCTTGGTACCACTGTAGATGAACTTTCCGGTTCTTCGCAGAAATCAGTGGTTTTCGTATAATTTACGACTGTTCATACCGATTTTTTTCAGTTCCTTGCATATAGTTTGGGTAGATATGGGTCGGGGATGGGATTCATTAAATTCTTCTGACAACTGTTGCACAGATAAGTCCTTTTATTTACACTAGCCTTTTCAAACGACATCGGTCGTGTTTCTCATTAACTGTTTTGGAGCCACGGTTACTTCTTTTAGACATTGACTGTGGGTTATTTTTTCACTGATTGAACACTCGGAATATCTCAAATTTCCCAGTTCTTGATATCGAGACAGGCACCCACAATCGGTCCTTTTTGAAACTCCGTCAAGTCCTTCGCTTTTCCCATTTTCATAAATTTAATGACCATACTGACCAACATCATTCTTAAATAGGAGCTTAAGAACCCGTGGTAGCTCACATGACTCAAGTGTTTTGCATATAAGCTGCAAATTTACATTACTTAATATGCATGGGGGTTTCTAATTCATAGGCCAGTGAGTCTATGTAACTCCATTCAGGGGAAAAGTTTTTAATTAAATTCACATCACTTCCTGCCCAAAGCGGAAGTTTGTATATTGTTAATCAGGGCCTCCTGCCTCTAATCTTTCCATATCTGATTTTGACTTTTATCTAACACCGTTCTCCAAATCAAGGAAAGAGAGACGGATGATAGTGGAAATTTATAGATCTATAATCTATAATTTTTTTCACATTGCAGCCCTAAGATTGTAAATATTATGTAATATAATAAAGTGACTGGATAACAAGTATGATAATAATTAATATAATTTTCATATAATGTTTTTGGTTATTTGATATAAAAGTAATGTCGATTTATTAATTTATTAATAATTTTATTTATGGAATATGATTCGATTTTAGGTGTTAAATGAATGTACAAAAGTGATTTAAGAATATATTTTAGAATTATAGCACGCGTACCGCTATTTTCGGTGCTCTTTCTTTATCTTCGTCGATCGACAAGGCTGAGCCAGTGTAGAAAAGTGTACACCGAAATACAACACTGACAAAACAAACAGGGATATTATAATTTATTATTATTATCATTATTATCAGAAATTATTTTAAATAATTTTTACTTTTCAATCCCATTATAATATATTTTTTTAGAATATAAAAGAAATATTAGAATAAAAAGTAGTAATAAATGTCAACCAACATAAATGAAATAGCTAAAAACATCATTTTATTTAAAATATGGTATAAAGATTGATATTGAAAGAATTTAAAAGATGATAAAAATTCCTCTGATATTCTCTATAATCCTTCCGGTAAAGAAGACTTATAGCCTAAAAATATTCTATATACCAGCATTTTAAATATGATTAACGTTTTAAAACACTATTTATACAACTTACTAATATCGATATTGGATATTTTCAGTTATAATTTATAAAAGAAAAATCTGCAAATATCTCCAAAAATTACAATTTTGAAAAAATAAAAATTGATAAGAAGATTTCTAAATTCTAAAGATAATTTTAATTTTTCTAATTAATATATTCATTAAGAACAATCAAATTAACAAAATATTTTATTTTTAATTATGTTCGTTGTGTAAATGATGAATGTTAGAATTTTCAATATTTAATACAGTATATCAGTACACCGACATATTTATGGCAAATGCTAATACTTACGGATAAACTTGAAGTGTGCAAATGTTCAAACGATATTATTTACCGGTAAAGCTGGTATATAGTGTATAACTTTGTTTTAAATCCATACATTAAATATAATTAGTATTTTAAAACAATATTTAAGCATTTTTACGATTGAAATAAAAATATTCATTTCCAATTCAATAAC